AAAAAAAGTTAAAAATGAGAATTTGTTCCTGGGAAATATATATATATATATCCCAAACTGACTTTCCAATTGCTGTCTCTGTTGATCCTATTCTGAAGTTGAATTATTTCTTCTATTGTCTTAAACTCCTCAGAGTTTTCCTGGAGGGGGAATTCAGGAGGGGCTTCGGTGACGTGCCCCTCCCAAGTCCCTGCTCTCAGGCTTACCTTCCACATGTTGGGCACATGGGGGGGCACAGAGTCAGGCCTAAAAGTGTCTTATGAGGCCAACACTTAATGACTCATAGGATGTGCAAATCTGCCCTAACCGAGCTTTTCTTCTTGCTCACAGGCTCCTATCTAAGGCAAACACCCTCCAGGGCCTGCCTGAGGCCCCCTGGTAGTCCTTCCTCCTTTCTGTACAGCCTGTTTATCCCTCTTTGCTGAATCATCCCCATCTGCACATAAATAAATATGCTGCCATTTCACCTATCTTAAAAAAAATGGTCTCAGCTGGGTGTGGTGGCTTTTGCCTGTAATCCCAGTGCTTGGGAAGTAGAGGGGAATGAGTCTGGAATTAGTGAGTTCAAGAGCAACCTAGGTTACCGGAGACCCTGTAAAAGAAAAGGTAGGTGTGGAAGCTGGGGAGGTGGCAGTTGAGAGCGGGTACTGCTCTTCCAGAGGTGAAGCCTAGGTCCTGGCAAGCAGATCTGGCAACTCACAAGGACCTATATATAACTATCTCCAGAGCATCTGTTTCCTCTACCCTCCGTGGGCACACTCGTTCACATGCACAGACACGCACACCATTTAAAATAATAAAATAAATATCGTTTAAAATCTCTTTTAATCTTTTTTTATTTTTATTTTTTGTGTGTATGTTTTGTGTGCATGTATATAAGTGCACCTGTGTGTACAATGCCTGTGCAGGTCAGAATAGGGTGTTGAATCCCCTGGAACTGGATGATTGTTAGCCACCATGTAGGTGATAGCAACCAAACCTGGGTCCTGGGCAAGAGCAGCCAGTGCTCTTAACCAGTGAGTCATCTCTCCAACCCATTTCGATTTTTTTTGAATCTTAAAACAAAACAAACAAAAATCACAGAAGGCAGAGGCAGGCAGATCTCTATGAGTCAGAAGCCAGCCTGGTCTACATAGCGAGTTACGGTTTACATACCAAGTTCCAGGCCTGACTGGCTACACAGTGAGACCCTGTCTCCAAGAAAAAAAGAAAAAAAAAAAGACAAAGACAAAAACAGGAAATAGTGATTCAAGCCCATAGTCCCATGATGTACTCAAGAGAGCGGGATGGGAGTGTCACTTGAAACTTGGGAGTTCAAGACCAGCCTGGACAACATACAAGACTATACTGTGGGGCTGGAGAGATAGATGGCTTAGCGGTTAAGAACACTGGCTGTTCTTGCAGAAGACCCAGGTTTGAATCCCAGCACCCACATGGCAGCTAACAACTGTTCATAACTCCAGTCCCAGGGTATCCGACAGCCTCTTCTGACCTCTGCGGGCATTGCACAA